TGTGTGTGTGTGTGTGTGTGTGTGTGGCCAGCTCAGCCCACCAGGGGGCGGGGCTGGCTGGCGTGTGGTGCTGGGGGATTGAACCGCGGTCCCTGTGCTTTGCTAAGCTTGTTCCAAGTAGGTGCTTTAGACCACTGAGCCATCTCGCCAGCCCCTGGTCATATGTTTTCTGCATCACAAAGCATTAAGTAAAATTGACCCAGTTCTCCAAAGTAAACTTGCTGCTTGTGATAAATAGACTTGCATGTAAAGAATGCTTACTGTTTGTTCACTTACAGTGTTGTGAGAGATTACAGTGACTTGCCATTAATTGGTCTGGGAGGCACCAAGGGTCAACAGAAGTACCAAAGAAATTACTTTAGTGAGGAACTAGGTGGTGGGCACTGACAAGTTCTACCTTATATGTCAGATTCCAGATGATGAGTACCAGGACAAGTTCTTGTGTCAAAATACGTTGCACACCTGTAATCCCAGCACTTGAGAGGCAAAGCCAGGGGGATCGCTTTGAGTTCAAGGCTAGCCTGGGATAGATAAGCGAGGTCAAGGCCAGCCTGAACTACATAGTGAAAACCTGTCTCGAAAAGAAAAAAAGAAATTTGAGTACCCAATGCAGTGAGTTTCAAAGCAGTGAAGTGCTGAAGTATAAATGTGTGTACTTCTCTTATCTGTTCCAGAAAAGAAGAGAAGAGAGCACAAGGCTAAAGGAAGAAGGAAATGAACAGTTCAAGAAAGGAGGTAAGATAGCTTTTAGCGCCAGTGTCTGGTTGTCTTGATTCCTTTTATTGTTTTAGAGCCTATGAAGACGTAGCAGGGGACACTTGGAAGCAACTTGCAAACCTGAGCTCTTCCCAGTGCGTTGTATACTGTTGCCTTGATACCTGACACTGGGGGGTGTTTGCCCAGCTCTAAATCATTCTCAGCTGCCATTAATAAGTTGCCGTATGTCTCTTTTGCACAAGCGCAGTTGTTTTGTCTTGGTTTTTTCCCTTTATCCACCCACAGATCAGGGGTGGAACTCTTCTTTGGCTACTGCTTTGGAAAGCACTGACCTTACTGTGTTGCTGTGAATGAGTCCCCATTGCGCAGGTGCTCCAGGGCTCTGACCACGCCAGTGTAGGAAAGTACATGTTTTATCTTTGGCTGTGTTGAAGCTGTTAGTCAGCCTTTAGTTGTTATAACCAAATACTTCAGGCAAGCCAATCTTTCTTTTTTTTTTTTTTTTTTTTGGTACCTGGGATTAAATTCAGGACCTTGTATTTGCCAGGCAGGCACTTATGCCATTAAGCTGTCTCCCCATCCCAAGGCAGGCCAATCTTATAAAGAAAGGAGTGCATTTAACTTACAATTTGGGAGTCTGAAAATGCAAGGGGCACAGTGGTTCCTCTGGTGAGGGCCCAATGACAGATGGAGTGCATGTTGCACTGATTACGTCACAAAATAGGAAGCCAGAGAGCTTACTTGGGCGGTAAGGCACCAGCATTCTAGCAGCCCACTCCCCTCAGCACTCACCCCAGGAGACATGTGTTCCCATTCAGGACAGCACCTCCAGTGACCTGAGGGCCTCCCATCAGAACCTGAATCTTAGAGGTTCTATTTTTTTTTCCATAATTTCATTGAGAAACAAATAGTAATAAGACAGTTTCAAACCAAATTGGTAGGACAGTTTCAG